GGATTTTTTTTTTTTTTTTTTTTTTGTACCGACACTTATTTATATCGTCGGGACGGGTGTTACCGTTGACCGTTATTAAAAACCGGTCGGCGTTGTATAATCCTAACCTTCATTATTTTATTATTTTATTTTATTCTCTTCATCTCTCCACTGCTAGCTAGTCCATTCCTTTTTTCTTCTCTATTTTCCTTCGCGTTTAATCTGTTCACCGCCGCACCATCCTCGGAGCCACCGTGGTTGTCGGCGCGTGTGCATGGCGGTAAAGATTCTGAGGCGGAGATTGCCTGAACTCCCTCCATATTTAATGCTAGGGCTCGTGGTTGTCAACCCAATCTTCATAAGGTTTTTGATATTAATCTCAACTTATGCATGCTTCTTCATATATTACTCAAGTTTTATGTTTGTTTTAGTATCATAATTTTGTCTTAATTATGTTATTTTGATTTCTAGGGTCATCGATAAGAGGCAGACTCTATGGGTCACCGTTTTTCGCACGGTTCAATAAAAGAGAGAATCTTATGACATTCGAGGCTCCGTGTCATAGCTCTTAGACAATTCTTTCGATGAAGTACATATTCAAAGAGAAATGTTACGTTCTTATATTACCACCTTGACAAAAAAAATTTGTCGGGTAACTTTGTTTGACATCTTGTTTTTATTAATACCTTTTCTGACATTTTTCCGTGTTTGAAAAATATATATCCCAAGCTCATCGCTATCAGATATCGTTTTTTTGAGTTTTTCCTTTCAAGCTTCCCTTCAAGTTTTGAAAACGCGTCTATTATGAAGAAGATATAGCCCTACTTCAACTAGTATCTTACATTGTCCAGTGATTGACTCTAATACCATTTGTAAACTACTCAAGCTCACCACTAACATATATTATCTGTTTTTTATCGTTACATATCGTCATCAGCCTCACAATTTTAAAATGTGTCTACTAGGGTGATGTTTTCACACTCTTATAAGAAATGTTTTGTTCCCCTCTCCAACCGATATAGGATCTCACAATGCCGAAACACACCACTAGCATACACGTTTTAAAATCGTGAGACTGATGACAATACGTAATAGGCCAAAACAACGAACTTGAATGACAAGAGCAATTGTTAAGAATGAGAAATATAATTAGGATCGAAGGTATGTATTCTCATTGATATTCATAAGTTTTAAATAAAATACAAGCTAACAACTAATATCTACTAAAAAAAAGAAAAATATAAACTAATTAAATATTGAGAATAAAATAAAATATACTATAAATCAAATTATAAAGGGAAGAATATTAAGATATAATATCTAATATATATTCCATAAATAATATATTCTCCAAATATTATATCTCAACAATAATGATATCATTTAATGACGGAGATATTGGTAACCAAGTGGTTGACAAATGGGGTTTAATTCCATGTATGGTTGTCTAACATAGTGATTAGGACTTAATTAAATTTAGATTTAAAATAATGGGTAGTAGTTTTCATTATTTAAAAATAAAAATAAAATAAGAATAATTGGATTGTGATATGTGCACGTATCAAAGACTAAACTAGATCCATAATATTAAAGTAATACCTAATTTAGAATATGGTACCAATTCTACTTCCAAACGTAACATTCATTTCAATTCAAGACCATATTTTAATTTCCTCCTAATTCTATTGTCAAACACGTTTTAATAGTCGGTTTAGAAATTAACACTAATTATTAACGAACTTAACACTTTTGTCAAACATTAGCCCGACCGAAGCCTATTTGAATAATAGTAGTCATTCAGCTAGTTGGGTGGTCGTTGATCCAAATTTCGAACTGTTTGGAACAGGGTAAATTTGTCGGGCAAGGTTGTTGGCTGTTGAGTTGCACTTCCGATGGGTGAGGAGAAAATTCTTAACCCATCTAACTTACTTCAATTGCTCTAGAGATGAGATACCTTCAGTTCTAGGGTTGTTGTACTCGGAAATTAGGTCAAACAATACTGAGACAGTAAATTGTCGAATATATTTTATAGGTTTTGCACGAAGCAAAGCCAATACATATAGTAGGGCTCGTAATTACAAGGTGTTGATAGTAGGGGAAAGAAGCCTATTTACCTCGTTCAAGAATAGTTCAACTCTCGTTTTTACGAATCAAATCAAATCAAACGGGATTTCTCATTTGCTGAGCTTCGGAACCTTATAGAACTAGTTTGCATGGCCTGACCTCCTCGACTTCGATTCTCTCCTGTGGTTTAGTCAACAGTGCAATCTATGGTGCTTCAAAGTCATCCTGCCTCCTTCCACAACTAGATCGGGGACCCCATCTCTCTCGAGTTAAAGTCCTTATTGATTTAGTACAGTCAAGCTAAAAAATGAGAAATTAACCAGGTGCGATATTAAAATTATTTTTAAAACAAAAAATTTCCATCTCAACAATAATTTATATATTTTAAAAAACTTAAAAAAGAATAATATTTATTAAAATATTTTGACTTTTCTCATTAAAGGGGACAATCAGGTTCGTTTGATTGCTTCGGATAATATATTCAGCTTTTGGAAGCGAAACTATGACGGCGGTCGGTGGCATTGATTGGAAGCGACGGCCCCACTGTTGTCGGATGGCGATTTATTTCAAAATTAAAAAAAAATAATAATATATATATATATATATATATAATTTAATTTAATTGAAAACTATATATTATAAGAAATAAAAATCTGCACGATTTGGAATAAATAAGATATATATATATATATTTATGGGGAAATCGCGTTGGTATAATGAGTGAGTGAGATGGGCAATCATGATTCCCTCAATCAATTAATAAATACCTTATAACCTAAAATATATACTATAGTTTTTTTTTTCTATTTATTAATTGTTTAAATTTGAGATTAAAAAATTATTTTTTATCCAATTTTTAATTTCATCTAATTAAATTTGGGATAAAATCTTGTAATTTATAATATTTATTTAATTAATAAAAACTAATGTAAATTCACTATTTTAATTATATTAAGATTTTGTGTAAATTTAAATTCCATTAATAAATTAACAAAAGAAAAATTAATTTTAATGCTTTTTAATTCAAAATTTAGATTAAAAATGGATATAATTTGACAAATTTAGACAATACAAATTGCCCAATTTATTAATATATTTATGATAAATAAATAAATAAATTTCCAATTTTCATTCCCGAGAAAAAAGTCGGTTGAAAGGGTATAAATGTAATTGTAAGGTGTAACACTATAGTTGAATCACAATTTACATGGTTGGTATAATTTTGACTAAAATGGGAGCGGATGTAGGCGAACATTTCTCATTTGGATTCAATTTTTATTTTATTTAATATTTAATTTCTTTTTTAAGTCACTTTCTCGGCTGGTTTGCGATCTTGAAAAGCGATCAAACTATCGCACGCTTTACCCCAAACCCGTCTCTCTCGATGCTTTTGATCGTATAAAAATTAAAATAAACCAGAAATGGTCCTCTCCCACCGGCGAATTGACGACCACGACGGAACTTGACGGACAGGTACTCAAAATCGTGGCTCAATTTCGACTTTCAACATGAAATTGCTCCAAAATGGGGTCGCCGTCGAGCCACTTTCAGTTAATTGCGGTCGGACTGTGTTGGTGGGCATGAAATTGGACTCTCATAGTAGAGAGTTGTTGACTTGGGCTTTGGTTAAGGTCGCTCAGCCTGGTGACCTTGTGATCGCTCTTCATGTTCTTGGTAACGATGGTGAGTTCAGGGTTTGAATTCTTGATGTGGGTAGGTGGGATTTTCGAGTTTTGTTGATTATTTTAGCGATTTTGATCGATTTTGTGAAATGGGTTCTGTAGAAATTGTGAATCAAGATGGGAAATCTTCGCTTCTTTCTCTTGTAAAAGCGTTCGATTCTGTGTTGGCTGTTTATGAAGGCTTCTGTAACTTGAAGCAGGTTTTATGTTCTTCCCATTTTGTCGATACTAATTGATTTCTCTTTGAATTTGATTTCTAATTTGGGGGTTCTCTTTCGAAACAATTTTGAATCGTTTTTTGGCAGGTGGAACTGAAGCTCAAAATCTGCAGAGGAGCATCGGCAAGGAAGATCTTAGTTCGTGAAGCGAAATCGTATCGTGCTACGAACGTTATTGTTGGGACTTCTCGTAAGCTCCACAAAATTCGTTCATCGACTTCCGTTGCCAAATACTGCGCCAGAAAGTTACCCAAGGATTTTTGGGTACTCGCTGTTCATAATGGGAAGGTGATGTTCGAACGAGAGGGCTGTTCAGTGGCGGCCATAGGGGACTGCCAAGGTATCATGGGTGTTCTTCATTTGATGTCTTTTTGTTCTTCTGTTAAGTTTTGATTTATGCAAAATTATCAGGAAAAGATGATCAGCGCCAGAGCAATTTGCTCTGTGCAGTTTATGGATCGTCCGGTAGCCCTCACAAAGTTCAAAGGGGTGAGAGTTTTGCTTCTCTGTTGGCGAGGGACGGCGGTAATCTGGGAATTGGTAAGGATTCTGACCAGGGATTAGCCAAAGTCATAATTGGCGGTACCAATAAACAGAACTGCTCGATTTGTGGATCGGAGGCGACTTCTGTGGAGCAATCTGCTGATATATCCTCTGGTGATGGAGATAAACATGATGAATCTTTGGCTATAGTTCCAGTACATAATGTCGAGGTAGCGTTAAGCTCGATTACTAAGTTGATTAAGCAATTGCCTGAAGTGAAACCCGGTTGGCCTTTGCTTCGACATGTCGATCAGTCAGTTCAATCCGATCGACAACGTTCTTCCGATCTATCGATGGCCAAGAAAATTTCTGTAGTTCAATGGGCAATGAGGTTGCCTAGCCGATCTCTGCCTTACCCTGCTGCTTTGGATTACAAATCTAATACCGCTGATCAATATTTGGGTCTTGATGGAGAAAATGGAGCTATGGTTCTTGTGGGTTCTGAACCGGCGATGTCTCTGCTCTCCCCGGAGTCTTGTTCGGAAACCTCACCGAAAGAATTGGAAGGTTTTCACGAGAAATACTCGTCGACTTGTAGATTGTTTACTTATCATGAACTCCTTACAGCTACATCGAATTTCTTGCCTGGTGTGTCTTGTTTCTTCCATGATTTGTGCTTGTGCTTCAAGTTTTGTAAGTTTAGTGTTGTTTTCTAATGATCAGCTCCTTATTTTTTCAGAAAATTTGATTGGGAAAGGAGGAAGCAGCCAAGTTTACAGAGGTTGTCTTCCTGATGGCAAGGAGGTTGCTGTGAAGATCTTGAAGCCATCCGAAGATGTTCTAAAGGAGTTCGTAGTCGAAATCGAGACCATTACCTCCTTAAGCCATAAGAACATTATATCCCTTTTGGGATTTTGCTTTGAAAATAGCAAGTTCTTGTTAGTTTATGATTTTCTCTCAAGAGGAAGTCTTGAAGAAATCCTTCACGGTACTCGTAAGTCCTAACTCTGCTTTTTTCGTCTCGAGAACTAGCAACCGTCACCTGCTAAAGCGTTACTATCCATGAATTTTATGTTAGTTGAACTAGCAAATGGAAAGAACCCAAATACATTTGGTTGGAATGAAAGATTCAAGGTCGCTGTTGGCGTAGCTGAGGCGTTGGATTATCTCCACGACGATGCTCAGCATGTGATCCATAGGGATGTTAAATCGTCGAACGTTTTGCTATCTGATGATTTCGAACCGCAGGTGATGTACTAGTAGACATGATTCTACATGTACTAAGCTTCTAGATTGATACTCATAATATCGCTTTTCGTTCTTCAGTTATCAGATTTCGGGCTCGCTAAACGGGCATCGAACTCATCGCACGTAACGTGTACAGATGTTGCAGGAACCTTTGGGTTTGTATATCTAAATCTTCTGTGAAGTGTTTTGGTCTGTGATATAATTTTTTGTTTAAATGTTACTGCTCTTTGCTGCAGTTACCTGGCTCCTGAGTATTTCATGTATGGCAAGGTAAATGACAAGATCGATGTCTATGCTTATGGCGTGGTACTCCTCGAACTTCTTTCTGGGAGAAAACCGATAAGCACCGAGTATCCGAAAGGCCAAGAAAGCTTGGTCATGTGGGTATGTCTTCTGATCTCGTAGAATTCGATCGTTGCTGAATTACTTATGGATGTTTTCGATTCTCAAATGAAATCATATCATCCAGGCAAAGCCAATTTTAATCGACGGGAAGGTGTCTCAATTACTCGATCCTAGCTTGGGGGGTAACTACGACCAGGACGAGATGGAGCGTGTAATTCTTGCAGCGAGCCTTTGTATCAGACGCGCCCCACGAGCTAGGCCTCCAATGAGCCTTGTAAGTTGATAAAAGAAATCGATTTGTTCTTGTTTCTCGAAAACTCGACGAATTTATGCGTGGTTCGATTACAGGTTGTGAAACTTCTCCAAGGTGATATAGATGTAACCAAATGGGCAAGGCAACAGATGAATGGTGTAGAGGATTGTAACACTGTAGATGATGAAGTATGTCCACGATCCGATATCCAATCACATCTCAACGTTGCGCTGCTCGACGTCGACGACGACTCACTCTCCCTGAGCAGCGTCGAACAGAGTATCTCATTGGAGGAGTATTTGCAAGGCAGATGGAGCCGTTCGTCAAGTTTCGACTAAGAAGCTGAACCGCAACCCGGGTAGCTCGAGGAGTGACATCAATTCGGTATATTCATGGGTTGAATGGGTGAAGGATGAGAGGATGTTTGTGGTGTGCCCTCCTCCCTCCATTTCAGGCTCCTTCTGGTTGTAATGCTGATTGATTATGACAAGTTCATTAAGCATTGGTAATAATAAAAGAGCACAGCAGTTTTGTTTCAATATTCAAAAAGAATAATAGTACATCAATTATTTTTGTCTACAAGTTCTAGAAAATAAAGTCGTCTCGGTCACAATTGAGGTCTAGCTTGTTCTCTATTCTTGTTTGGTTATGCCCTTTTTCTTGGTTGTTTTTTTCCCTTATCAAAGGCGGTCGTGGTTGTAGTTCAATGAGTTAAAAGAGGACACTTTTTTACCGACGGATCCGATCCAAGCATATACGCCACAAATATCAATCTTAGCCTATAATTCGAGATCTATTAGGGTCGCTATCAACGCACATTGGGTTGGGTTGGGTTAAAGTGAGTGTGTGTGGTGAAGCATTATTGAGTATGAGACACAAGAAGGGGAGGGGCCTAACTGAGGAGGTCGGTGCGCCATGTTTTTTCTTCCCCACCGACGCAAATTAATTCATCTCTTTTTTTTTTTTTTTTTTTTTTTTTTTTTTTTTTTTTTTTTTTTTTTTTT